GAGTACAGATCTCTGATTTTGTCCATCTACGCTTCCCACTATATTATTCTCTGGACTGGTCTGTATCTTTTTAATTTCTCAAAAAAATAGATAATTGGATTACTAGGGCTACATGGTGTGTGTGTGTTTGTGTGTGTGTGTGTTTGTGTGTGTGAGTGGATGTGTGTGTGAGTGGATGTGTGTGTGTGAGTGGATGTGTGTGTGAGTGGATGTGTGTGTTGGTGGTATCCGTATTGTTGATGGATAGCCACAACAGCAAAGTCAAGGAAGATATAAATTTCAGTTTCTATTCTTTGAAAATTTGGCTGTGATAAGGATGAAGGCTTTGTACAGATAGCTGTACTTGGAGCATTTCAGAAACCCCCAGGATTACATAAAAGGAAGAGGGAGGGGCCTTGAGGTCTGGAAACTACAGGGCCCTCAGCAATGCTCTTGGAGGGACTGCTAACTCCCAGTGCCAAATCTCAGGGTTTCCCCATCCACACTCAAATACAAGGATCACCTCCACAGCTCCGGGGCCACCAGATCACAAGCTCAGCAACCTAGAAAACTCTAGAACCAAAAGATCTTCCTCCCAAAAGGCCCAGCTGACCATACCAGAGTCAAAGCTTACCAAAGAGTCTGTCACAATGGCAGCACTTTCTCCACAGGCCTCTTCACTGCCTGTCCGTGCATCTAAAACAAGTGCTACCAATGAAATGAAGGCACAGCCACTGTACTTCCTGTTTTCGAAACTTCTGACTCACAAACGCTTGAAGAGGAGGGCTGGCCTCTGAGTGGTACGAGCAGCAGCGGATCCTTCTAAAGCTGCAAAGGAAAGGCCGAGAACTCTGCGCGGGAGTGTGGCCACCTGAGCCTTGCTTCTGGCTGCGTGACTTTGGATGGGTCATTCTACCTTTGGGGCCTCATTTCCACATTCCAAAGTGAGAAAGTTGGACTGGATGATAACTCAGAACCCTTTCTTTTCATATTTCAGGATTTTAAAGATTTTTCTGTATTATGAAATGAAACTTTACTTTTTCATTCAATAAATATAGATTGAGAACCTGTGAGAGGCCTTGAGACCTGGACACTGTGGTGCACTCAGCAAACTCTCAGAGTGTCTGCTAACTGCCACTGCTAAATCTCATGGTTTACCCAAGGATAATCTCTGTGGCCCCAAAGCCACCAGATCCCACCCTCAGCAGCCTAAAAAACTCTAAAATCAAAAGCCTTCCTCCCAAAAGGCCAAGCCCATCTTACCAAAGAGGCACATCCTGGGGCCCTCACCAATGCTGGGCCCTGGGGAAGTACCAGTAACAAAACAGACATACAAACCCCTGCCCTCACACTGCAAGTTAGTTGAAATGTTTTCTGATATTAAAAGTAGGAAAAGAAAATCAAGATCTCTCTTCTTTGAAACTGTCTTTTGTCTTTCCCCAAATAGAATATAAGCTTTCAGAGGGCAGGGACCCATCTTATAGCTAACAGGATTGAATGAGTTGTCTGCAAGTGCCTCTTCACCTTAGAGGACTAGGAAAAGGTGACATTGTAATATCAATGCCGTCAACTGACACTTGATTCTGTCCAGTCAAGTCTGAGCAAGAGCACAACCACCAAATGAAATCGTTTTAGTGGCTAAATCCTCAGTGCTCCCTGACTTCCTGACGCTTCCCCAGCACCCTGGACAATCTCCATCCCAGCATTTGTCCCACTGTTTTGTGACTATTTCCTGTCCCGGGCTGTGAGCTTCATGACGGCAGGGGCTGCATCTTTCACGTTTGTGTCCCCAGGATCTGCCTTGAGAACAGCAGTATCTAGAACATACAAAGATTGCTGCAAATCAGCAAGAAAGAAAAACTCTGTCGAAGAGCTATGGCTATGAACACGGAGTTCCCTGACAGATATTCAAACTGCTAAAGTGTACAGAGTGTTGCTCACACGCACCAGTAACCTGGGAAATGCAAAATAAAGCTACAAGACGCCCACTTTATCCTTATTGGTTGGCAAAGGTTTGCTACTTAGATCAGGCCGAGGCTTGGCCAGGAGGGAGGGCAATGGAAGCTTTAGGAAAGCAAGCTGGCAGGACTTGGTCTGATCATGTACCCACATGTGCCGCCACCAGCAACCCTTCTGGGTCCACACACCAGTGAAGTTCTTATATTGACCTTTGACAGGATTTATGGAGACTACACATCATGTAACACCATGTAGTGGTTAGAAACTGGGACTTGGCCAGTACACAGAATTTAAAGAGCTGAGTGTTTATTCTAAAAAAAAAAAAAGCAAGAAACAGAATGAGCAAAATAAAATACACATAGTGTTAACATGTGGTAATAACGGCAAACACTCACTGGGTACTTAGTCGTGCCAGTCAGTCACTGTTGTAAGTGCTTTGCAAGTATTATCTCCTGAAGCCCCCACAAACACCTCATCACGTGTTATTGATCCCATTTAATGATGAGGAAACAGAGGCACAGAGAAATGACTCACCGGAAGTCACTTAGTTAAAAAAAATAGTGTACACACACAAAACAGAGATATATTTTGCAAAGATACAGATAAATTCAGAGATACATCTCTGAATTTAGAGAGCATTAGAGAGTAAATCGTTAGAGAGTTGTCTATGGGGAGCAGGCGAGGGGGTGAGGAGTGGGGGGGGTGAAGGAAGCCCCTAAAACACAAGGTGGGAGGGGCAGCAGTGGGCTGTGGGACCAAGGACCCTCTGCCCCAGGGCTAAACGAAAAAGAAAACAAACATGAGTAGAGAAATAAAGTTTTCAGGAATCTCTAAACGGGGTCAAGGCGGGAGACAGTGTGTCTATCCTGATCCTGGAGGCAGCAGGGAGCCCCTGAGGACAGACACGTAGCAGAGGGACTGGGGTCCTCAGAGTGACAAGGCAGCCAGGCCGGCGGCTGTGGTTGAGAGAGAAACCCCACAGGGGGTCCGGGCCTGGCCGGACTCAGAGGTGTCCCCGGTGGGGCAGGGCCGAGCTGCCCCCTGAGTGAGCGAGTCCAGAAGTGCACACTGTGGGCTCCCTACGGGTCTCCCCCCGTGGAAGAAGCCACCTCGGCACCAGGCACTCACCTGCTCCACCCTTTCCCGGCACCATCACGTCACTAAGTCCCCTAAACCGCCTAACTTCACACGCTCAAGCTCCCAAGGCTTGTCTACGCCGGAGAAGATCCCCGAACCAAGCCGGGGCCGGGGCGCCTCCTGCGACTCTCGGCCGCTCCGCCGCCGCCGCCGCCCGCCGCCGACCCGGGCACGCCCTTCCCGCGCCGCCTCCTCCACGCTCGGAAGTCGCTCGCCAGCTCGGCCAGGCCTCAGAAACGTCGCAAGACGTGGGAGAGGAAGCACCCGAGAAAGGTCTTCCCTGCAGCAGAACGGCAGAGTCAGGTCTGCGGAAGAAGAGAAAAGTCCTCCGCAGAAAGCACTGGAGCGTGAACTTCACTCCCGAGGCAGGAGGACAGAGGTGACTCACTGGGACAAGCAATGATTCTTATTTAAGGGGACCGAGGCCTGTTTTCCAGTCACGCAGAAGAGGAAGAGGACAGACAATTCGTTCAAGTGCAGACTGGAAACCAGGGTGCTGGACGTGCTTTGCTGGAGAGCATCTGTACTGGCCCCATTTGGCATTAGGAACGCGCGTCTGTGGCAGGTAAAATGCCATTCATCCTTCCCGCAGCGGATCCAGGGGGAGGGATCGTCCCTCCGTGCCCTGGGCCGAACCTCAGCAGTCAAGCCTTGGGCCAGCCCCGCAGAGGGTATCTCAGGCACTCTTCTTGGGTCAAAGCTGGCCTGTAGCTAAAATAAGGGGAGAACATACACGGAAAAGGAGAGGGGATTCCGGCGCAGGCCAGGGTAGGGGTAGGTAACGACCCTGGAGTTCCCGTCGGGACCTCGCTCTCGGTGTTAGGAGTAACCAGTGTCTGCAACGCTGAGCCTGGAGTGCTGGGACACTGAGGTCTGCTTCCCGGGGCCCTGAGCCAAGGCCCTCCCTCGCCACCATTCATCCCCACTCTCTGCCTCTGTTTTCTGTTTGAAGTTTTTAAAGGGTTTTCTGCCCTTTTGTTTTCACATCTTGTCCATTTTATAACTAAAACACCAACAATAATACAGTAACTATATGTTGCATCCTTTACATTAACTATCTCTAATTCTCACAGTAATGCAGAGGATTATTCTCCCATGCTATTGAAGAAACTGAGGCTCAAAGAGTCATATGAATTCAAATTCAGTCCTGCTGGGCCGAAAACAAGGGTCTTTCCACTATGACACACTAGCTCCCCCTTCCCCAGCACTTAGGATTTGAAATGAACCATGTGGATGGAAGAGCAACAAATTTAAACTAAGACAAAGTGACCTATGAACAAAGGTCAGAAGGTCCCTGGGTTCTTAGTCACCTAAGAAAAAAAAGGAGTTGGCCTAATAACGGCACGAGCTAATCTTTATTTGTGTGTGCCAGATACAGTCAGCTAAACTGGTTCTGATTCCAATATTCATGTCACCAACCTAGCTTTAACAGAAATTTCTTTAAGGTCTGAGCATAAAAGAGGTGAGGGTCCTCAATGTTCTTGCTTCACTACATGCCCATACCGAAGAAATGGGGCACCTGAAACCCTAAGGATAAGTGTCAAGAGTCAGTTTTCAATTTTTTTCTAATTGTGATAAAGTATACATAAAATAAAACTCACAGGCCGGCCCAGTGGCGCACAGCGCTAGTGCGCCGCTTGGGAAGCGCGGAGGCGCTCCCGCCGAGGGTCTGGATCCCACATACAGACTGGTTCCCACTCACTGGCTGAGCGAGGCGCGGGGGCAACGCCGAGGGTTGCGATCCCGTTGCCGGTCCCGGTCCGGTACGGGGGCAACACTGAGGGTTGCGATCCGTTGCCGGAAATGGAAAAAGACCAAAAAAAATAAAATAAAATAAAAAAAATAAAACTCACCATTTTAACCATTTTCAAATGAACAGCTCAGTGGCATAAAGAACATTCACATTGTTATGTAACCATCACCACCACCCAAGAATCACTTTTAATAATGTAACAGTGAATTTGTAAAGCACTGTGCAGTTTTAAAGCATTTTTCCTACTTTGTCTCATTTGATCATTACTGGTACCCACATTTGTCAGTCTAACACAGGCAAAACATGTGTTATACGAGACATTAAGGAAACCAAAGCTCAGAAAAGTGAGGTGACTCAGCTGGGATTGCACAGCTACTGTATCCACATACAGCACTAGTAACTGCTTCTTTAAAAAAAAAAATTAAAAGATGGGAGGATTATTCCCTGAAACAGATATTTTCTCACTTTCTGCAATGGAAATTCATTCTTTTTCCATAAGAAGAGAATTTCAAGAATGACTGTGGTAGCAACAATGAAACACATTCATTAATAAAAATTGAGCAATAATTTTCTTCTCAGAACTATTGGTGAAAATAATAACACCACAAATTCTCAGAAGAATAACTGACATGCAGACAAGAGCAAGCCCCAGGTGAGACTGCCAAATAGGCTGCATATTTGGCTTCTTCCCCTACAGGATATTATTTCTGTCTCTTAGAAGTGTCCCTCCCAAGCACATAGTCAATATCCCATTCCTACAGAATCCAGCTCTCAGCAACACCCAAACAAAATGATAACTAACCTGCTATACTGGAAGGATGAATACAGTTTCTGGTTTATCTTTCTTGAGATATTCTAAACTAAACCAAAAATAAACGTATTGTATATACTTTAATTCTTGTACAAATGATTTGTATGTAAACATTTGTGTGTGTGCTGTACAATTTTTTTTACCTAACTCTATTTTATAGTGATTTTCATATCAGTACTTATGTACTGCCTTCATCCTCTTCATTACTGCTCAGAATTTCTAGGCTAGAGTTTAACACTGCTTGGGACAATGTGCATTTTAGTCCAAGTCTCTGGCAAACTGACTGGGCCTCCTCAGAACATCAGGGCTGGAGAATAAAATGCCACGTGGACCATGGGAGCTGGATTCCTGCTCCACATGCCATCGAGGTTACGCATAGTATGAACTCTCCAAATCAGATTTTTTTTTTCTCTAAAGGTATTCAGAAGGAGATTAAGCCAAAGAGCCCTGATGGTAATCATTCCACATAACATCTTAGAGCTGTTGGTAAAATTAATGTTCATTCATGATTAAACAAACACTGCTGAAGTGCCCAGTGATTGTTTATTGTTTCATGAAATAAAAAAGTCATGAGTAGATGTAGAAACTAGGTTATAAAATTAACTTTTGGGGCAGCCAGGTTAGCTCAATTGGTTAGAGCATGGTGCTGGTAACACCATGGGCCAGGACCCCAGCTCTATACTGGCCAGCTGCACATAAAAAATAATAGTAACAATTAAACTTTTTGTGGTTTATGTCATGAAATGAACTTCTAATTCCTGAAAAAAATGAGTCATCTCTCACCTTACATGATACGTTGTAGAAGACCAGACATTCATTGAGTTCTGCTCTTCAAACAACGTTTAAGAGGGTGAAGAGAAGAGCCACCAATTGGAAGAAAATATTTGCAAAACATGTATCTGATAAAGGACTGTTTTCCAAAATATACAAAAACTCTTAAAACTCAACAATAAGAAAACAAACAACCCAATTAAAAAGTGGGCAAGAGATCTTAGCAGACACCGAAAAAAGAAATACAGATGGCAAGTAAGCATATGAAAAGATGTTCGACATCATATCTCATTAGGAAATTGCAAATTAAAACAACAGAGATACAACTACACATCTTCCAGAATTGCTAAAATTCAAAACACTGGCAAGAGGTGGCTTCTTCAATGGTGGGTGACCTGTAAGGACACCACATTATTCATTTCTTGACTCGCTCACTCAGGGGGCAGCTTGGGCCTGCCCCACTAGGGACACCTCTGGGTCCAGCCAGGTGCAGACCCCCTATGGGGTTTCTCTGTGAACTGCAGCCACTGGCCTTGCTGCTTTGTCACTCTGAGGACTCCCCAGTTCCTCTGCTACATGTCTGTCCTCAGGGTCTCCCTGCTGCCTCCAGTATAGACACACTCTTCATCAAACCTACATCAAACTTTGTTTTGGGGGGTCTTCACTTCCTTATGAAGGCACCCATGTCACATAAGACTTACATTAAATAAATCTGTATGCTTTTCTCTTATAAATGTGTCTTTTGTTATAGGGCTTCCAGCCATGAATTTAGAAGGGTTGAAGAAAAAGATATTTTTCCTCCCCTACAGTACCAGTATTGGTCTCATCACTGGTAATGAGTGCACCACACTATCAAGATCTTAATAGTAGGGGAAAGTGTGTGGAGGGGAGAAGCATGGGGAAGGGGGTACATAGGAATTCGCTGCACTTTCTATAAGCCTAAAACTGTTCTTAAAAAAAGCCTATTAAGTTTTTAAAATCTCACTTGCATACGATCGCCTGACAAGTGGATAAAGATGACGGGGCAGTGAAGTGAAGGAAGGATGGTCTTTATAGTAATGACGGATCAACTGCATAGCCATATAAAAGTAAAATGAACCTTGATTTTCTACCTACAAAAAATACAAATCCAGGAGGGACTGTAAATCTAAATATGAAAGGGAAGGCAATAAAACTTTGATAAAAAACCCTAAGAGAATGTCTTCATGATATTGGAGCGGACAAAGTCTCTTAAACGGGACGCAAAAAGTGCCAACCAAAGGGAAGAAATAATCAACTGGATTATTTTAGAAGAGCTTCTGTTCAGAAAAAAAAAGTAATAACATTAAGAGAGTAAAAC